CGATTCATCTGCTTTAGGCTACATGTTTGAGAATTATACCACGGAGTCAGGTACTTCTGATTTGAGGCCTTAGTTGAAACAGCTTAGGGTATAAGTGAAGAATGGCTCGATAAGATAAAGCAAAATACAACACAAGGTAAAACAAAACAGTATATTAAAAACAGTATATTAAATAGAAAAAATAAAGAGATAAAATTCAGTAATAAAAATGACATGGGTAAAACATTTCATTAAAATGCAATAATAGTAAAATGTGCAAAACATTCATATAGCCATATAGTGAAAATAAAACAATTATAAAACAAAGTAGAACAATTTATAAATGAGGAAACAAAAAAAATCTGTAGTTTTTTTCTTTTTGACATTTTTTAAGAACGTGTTTTCTGAAAAAGCTCCACACAGAGCTGCAGTGCTGTAAAGTATTAGCGCGCGCACAGAGCGCGTGCCAGTGTCTTCGAACTTCGTGCTGAACCCTGAAAACATCAAAGCGGCGCCCGGCAGCACCTTCTCTACACGCCGAGGCCCATGACGTCATTTTATATCACGAAGACGGTACCACGCATGCGCACAAGAGGGGAGAAAAAAAAGCCAAAGCGTCACGGAGCGGTGCAGCAGCAGTGTATGTGTGTGTGTGTGTGTCCTCATCACGAAGAGAGAGAGTGAACGGGAAGCAGCACCTCCGCCTTTTCCATCCAACATCTTCTCAGAACTCGAGTGGGAACGCGCTCAACTACACCTAGTCCGTACTCCCCCCCTCTTCTTCCTCCTCTTCAAAATGTCCGTGGGCAGTGACTTTGGGAATCCTTTAAGAAAATTCAAACTCGTCTTTCTCGGGGAGCAGAGTGGTAAGGACGCCTTTAATTCTCTGTAGAAGTTGGTGTAGTGGCTCGGTGCACCTGCTGCTGCTGCTGCTGCTGGGGCCGGTCGGCAAGTTCATGTTTCAGAAGGAAGCAGAGCTTGATTTAGCCTGGTGACAGGGCGACTGTGTGGAGTTTTAGGACTTAAACTGAGCACCAGGAAGGAGAAAAAAATGTCTGAGCGGAGCGTGGGGAGGAGATTTTAATCAAATTAGCAGCCCGTGAGGCTTTGCACAATAGTCGGGAGTGTGTGAATTGTGTCCCTCTGGCTCTTAAGTTTAAAAGTAAAATAACTGAAGCACTAAACCTGAAACAAGCTCTTCGGATGGAGTGCCGGCTGAATGCATGCAGGGAGGCTTGTACCAGCCTCAGGTCTGAGGTCTGATGCTGCTGGGGATGGTACAAGTTGGCAAATATTCCTGTGTGCTGAGACACACCCAGGTTGTCAGTGGCGATGAGATAACTTGTGTGGCTGCAGTCTCTGCCCTGGTATTGTTCCAGCCTGCCTGCCTGATGAGGCTGAGACCAAGTTTGTGTGTCTGTGTATGATGACCTGCTCAGTCATTATTATTTCACACTAAATAGCACATTTCCCCCCCATCCTAAACCATCAGAGTCCAAAGCTTCTCCTTGTCTGAGGTTGTTTTCCTCAGGATTACACAGCTGAGCTCCCTCAGACATGAGCTGAATGTCTGGGTTTTGTCTTCTGAGCAGGGCAGGTCGTTTTATGGTCTTGAGCAGCCCAATGAACCACATTAGTCACAGTTCAGGGCTCCAGCAGGTCATATTGATTACCCAGTACAGTGGGATCATGCATTAGCTTGAATAATGCTTCATTTACAGCAATGTGCCATGTTTATTACTGTGTCTAACTAATAGGACATTATGTCATTTAACCCTGAAGGAACCAAGCTATTTCAGCAGCTCTAAAGAA